AGCCAGCAAATCATTGTTGTTCTCCAGATTATAATTTTAAATAGTCCTTTCAACTGATTCCAATATAACAGAAGTATAAAAATTTAAGAGTTCTTGTAAAACCTTTACAGTCACAACTTGTGAATTTGCTGGCTCATATAATAATGATCCTCCATCCTTGATGTCAGCCATATTTCAATTTCCACTTTAAATTTATTCAGCTGTCAGGTCAATAAGTCCAATAATTTTCCACACAATTTAGAAGTATAAAGTAGTTGGGGTCAGTACCACAGCCTTTTTCATTCCACTAGCACTTTAAATCTTTTTCTTGCCGCATAATCCAGTAGCTTTTACAATGTTGCAGCTTTAACAATCACTTTCACTAGTAAGTTTCGTTTTAATGCCCTTAAGCACCATCTTTTTTCTTTTTCTTTTAAACGGAGTTAAAGTTTAGTACTTGCATTTTCTGTTCTCCTGATTTTGCTCTGCCAGCGTCCAGGTTCACATTTTCTCATAATCCTTAAAATTGCTCTGCTGATGTGGTCGCGACCCCTTGTTCTGCATAAAGCAGAATTGTCCCGGATCCGGAACACTGAAGGGCTTTCAGGGAGCTCTCACCCTGCAAACCCCAGGCTTAAAAAAAAAGCCTGGGGGTCTAGGGGAGCTCTACCCAGACCCTTCTGCTCTTCTCTCCCCCTTTTTTCCTGGGGGAGAGTTTTGAGCCGCTAGAACAGCTGATTTTCGCTGTTCTAGCAGTAAACGGAATCATGGGGCTGGAGCTCCTAAAGGAGCGTCCATTCGGCGAATGCGGAGCCACCGGAAGTCAAGCTTATATGATATTATTGAATGGAATGCAACTATTGTCTACAAAATATTTCAAGCCTTGTTAGTCAACCTTAGAACATCAAGCAGGAAAGTATTCAAACCTGATGTTTCTGATCCAACACATACAAACCCTGAACTGTTGAGACCTGCTGCATTTATCAACACTTTCATATTCATTTTTTCATATTTGTGCCAGCCAGCTACCATATGTCTTTGTAATTTTCATTATAAAGCTTTCAGTTCTGCATCACACCAAATATCAACATTTCTGAACTTAGCTCCTACCCTTTTCCTGTAAACTGTAGATTTATTGATTGATCTTCATAGTCCACTTTGATATTTTATGTATTTTACATTCATATTCTGGTCATGTAATGCATGTAAATGTCTTTCAGTACAAATTAAATTTCACAAACAAATAGGGGTATTTGAACTTAAAGCTGGTGTTTATGAAACGGCACCCACATTTCTACAGTATTACATCAAATTCTGAGATTTCTGTTAGTAATTTTATGAGGGTAGAAGGTGGTTTCCATTTAACCCATTCTAGAATTGTCAAGAAAGCTTCTGCAATGGTATTTGGAAATGATTGTGGGTCAGGACAAAGACCTATATTCTGGACAACCAGAATATAGGCAGCTCAGTCTGCAGGTGGGAGAAAAGGCATGGGAATCATTTCAGAAGGGATCCTTCTTAGTTCTCCAGAGACTAAAAAGAGTGAAGTAGAGAAATACTTTCAATCCTAGAAAATGCTGTTAATATAACTTTAGAATAAAGTAAAATTAGTTCATCTGGGTGTGTTTCTTGTCCAGACTACCTTGCAAGGCTGACATCAAGGTTTCAAGACTGAAAATGACAGAGTCGCAGTCCTGACCCAGAGCCCGGACATACTTAAGGCCTGGATCGGGATGAACATAGGCTGAACCTTTGAAGAAATATGGGTCTGACTCAAAGAAGGAGGAGAGGAATGCTGAGCTATTACAAAAAGGATATCTGGATCGTGGGAAAATAGAAACCAAGAAAAAGAATCTCAAACAACTCTGTCTTCCTTGTCAGTTGACATAGAGAAAGACTTCGACAGTCATTCAAGATTCTATTATAATATGCTAACCACATTGAAGTATATTTTTGGTTTCTTAGTGATATCTGTTTATTTATCTTGCTTACCTTGAAGGGCTGACAGAGTCTTAAAAAAGACAAAATGGCTATAGACTGAAAGCTGTTCTCGATCTAAAGATGATGGCTGTAGATGGGGTTGTACTGCTACACGGGAGCTAGTTTGGAATCTGGGATTTCTCCAAGAAATGGAGGTCCTGCTGAAAACAAAGTGGTGGCCATGACCCGGAAAACATTTGTACAGACCCTTGTGGGTCAATTGGATCTCTTCCTGGATCAGGAGTTGTTATGCATAATCACCTGTGACCTTGTTACTTCAGGGTTCAACTGTTATAACTCAATCCATATGGGGGTGCTCTTCAAAGCTATTCAGAAGCTTGTACTAATGTTTTAATGTTTCACTTTCTTGTATGCTTCTCAAAGCCATTTTGGAATTGGACAGCATAAAATCTAAAAAACACAGTTTAACTGACCAAAAACCTGATGGGTAGGAGGAATCATTAATAGGAAAATCTAGTGATGATTATGCCACATGGTAGTCTGTGACTTGAAATAAAAGAGAAGTAATGGTAAGCAGCATAAATTAACAGTGTGTGCAAAAATAAGAAAAGAGAAAGAATATCATACAACCGAATGTACGTTGTTCGATCTTCTGTAGAGGAGTTGAAAAATACATGAAAGAAGGTGAATGTGTACTGTATTGTAAATGAGAGTTAACATGGATAGCATAAAGTAGGACTTGTTATCATTATGGTTGTTGTGGATATACGTGAATCCATTAGTTGGTGAGAGCTGCTTGTTATATTCCAGTGAATGATGATAATGGAGAAACCAGAAATGAGTTTTGGGAAACATTGTACAGCAATCCGAATGAATGGACCGCAAAGTAAAAAATGTACTCTATAGTGTGACTGAATAGAACACAATGAGAATAGGGGTTATTTGGACCCCAAATGAACAAGAATGATGATTGGTGAATATCTACTTTGAGAAAATCTGTTTCTTTCAGATACCTGGTTTTGAAATAAGCCCATTCATATGGAACAAAGGCCTGAATACAAATCTAAAAGCGTATTCTTCTTACAGGTGGCAGTACCAGCTATTTTGAGAAGATGGTGAGAAACCATTTCCTTATTACTGCCAAGAAAATGTCATGGACCTGTCCATGTAGTCACTAGGAACTAAACCTGACTTGAGGGAGTATTTAACTTTAAATTTCAGAAGTTGCATTGTTCCCTTGGGAAATCAAAGAACAAGAACTTGTACCAGAGTCTTTTTGATGTAGTTAAGGCTTTACATCTGTTCTGTATATACTATAGTTAAAATACTACATTTTTTTTTTTAAATTTGATTTATATGCCGCCCTTCTCCGGAGACTGAGGACGGCTTACAATGTGCTCAGCAATAGCCTTCATCCTTTTGTATATTTATACAAAGTCAGCTTATTGCCCCCACAACTGGGTCCTCAATTTACCTACCTTAGAAAGGATGGAAGGCTGAGTCAACCTTGAGCCTTGGCGAGATTCAAACCTGCAGTAATTGCAGGCAGCTAGTCTTAATAACCAGCTTAATAACAGGGTGCCTTAGACCACTGTACTACCAAGGCTCTTATTCAAGCCTTAGTTAAAATGCTAGATATTCCTAAATATAGGGGCAAAAATGTTTTAGAAAGTATATTGAAGATGCCAGCTATGGACTCTAGGGACATTTTATAGTTTAAAATCAAGGGATTGTCATTTACTTAAACCCAAAAATAACATTTTACAGTTTAATACTGAAGTTTTTATACATAGATTCTTAATTCTGCATTCCACCCTCCAACTGTGATGAACCACAAATTCCAGTAGGAGCAGATTGTATATTCAGGTGACACAATGGTTAGATAAGAGGAAGTTTAGAAGTTTATGCAGCTGGACGGTGGCAGATTATAACTATAGTTATATAGTTATAATCTCTAATTACTTAAATCTGGTCATAACTTCACTTGCCCATTTTATTTCATTTCATTGTTCATTTTCTAATACTAATTCATGATATTGCTATGACTATCAAATCTTTCACTGGTTATATCATGAAAAGAGGGTGTTACTAAATATTGGTTTCAGAAGACATCTCCTATTGCATGTTACCACTCCAATTGCAATAATAAGATATTATTTTACTAAAGAGTTGCCACAGTTTGAATGTTATGTTGAATTGCTTGAGAGAAAGCTCTGAGTTATGTGAGGCATAGTTCTGAATAGACATATAAAAGACTGTATAGTGACATTGATTTCCATCTTTGTAATTGCAATGTCCCCAAATCTCGAGTTACATTTTTTCCTTCTCCTTTCATTGCAGTTCCAATCATTTAAATGGGACTAACAAGAGTTAACTGATCTATGTTTAGTTTCAGTATTGAAAGTCAGTGAGGGAGTAGAAGAACTATTTCCACATGTTTGCCCCAGAGGTTTAGTCCTTGATAGAATTAAGCAAAGCGTGGGGAGAGAGAAGCTTGTTCAAAGGATGTTGGAAACAAAACTACTCATGTCAGCTTGCTGAGGACAAGCTCATTGTCCTAAAATAATCCCCTCTGTGCTGATTCACTTCTATTATACAACTGATAAATACTACTGCCAATAAAAATGCTTAAAGAAAGATGCTGACAAATGAAACATCTCTTCCAGTTTAATTTGTAAGAGAGGATTTCTCACATTGTCCTTAAGAGTTTATATTTTATTTATTTTTTTGTCAGACCTACAGAAACTTAGACATTATATCACCTTCCAACATCAAGGCCAATTCTGGGATATGGAAGACAGAACTGTCCATAGAAAGAACTGAATACATGTCCTTCAACACTAAAGATGAAAGCAAAGGATATGGAGTGGCTTTCCCCATCTAGAAATACTTTTATTGGGGGCACCAGCTTGGACAAGGCTCTCAGACAGACTTCAGTTTTGATATCTATTGGTTTCTTAGTAATTAACTACTAAGTTCCTACAATTTAGCTAAGAATATATCTAGCCAGACCAATACATACAATTTTCTAAAGAATTATTTCTGGATTCTAAATAGACTGGGTATAAATAAGAACTTACCTGCTCTGTTTTAGCTTTATATAGCTAATTATATAGCTATCTAACTTTATTATGGGTTGCTTGAAGGAGCACCCTAGGAATGGAAACAATGTGAACCTAATGGAAAATTCCCATGTCAACTGCTTACCACGACTAGAAAGAAACAATAACTTTGTCTATATCCATAAAAGCAAGCTGCACACTGCATTGTGATGCGGATGAAATTGTGATGCGATGTGTTTTAGAAATCCATCTAGGAATTATCAGGTATTGCTGGGAGGAGGTTCTGAGGGCTCCTACAGTTACAGTTTAATCAAACTGAACTGTGATACTGACAGAATGTTTTGGCTCTGAAGAAGAAGGCTGGTAATTGACACCCCATCTTACGGAGTCTATCTTATTCCAGTTGCAGCTTTTGCATGGAAAGCTCTGTCACCTGAGATTTTTCCAAAATATATTTTCTCTCTGTCTCCTATCACAACTTAAAATTTTCCTGTCAGAGGTTTGTTTATTTCAAAGATTTATATGGCCACCCATTTTAAGCAAGTCTGGGTGGCTAACAACAACAATTAAACCATGAAATAAAATAACCATAAAACAATAAAAAAGGTAAAACTGTAAAACAAATCCCTGTGTCTTGATTGTCTTCTTAGGTTGCCCACAGCAGGCTCAGTTGCCCTTTCCATACTAACTACCAATACAATTCTATCTCAGCACAAGTGGCAGAGCTCACAGCTACATGGCTCCTGTCCATTTCCTCAAGATCAACCGGCTCAAACTACTCCTAGCTCAGACATACACTAGACACCTCCAAAGGATCTGCCCAGCCAGAGTCCAACTCCAGGCAAAGTCAAGCAACTTTGTCAGATGTCAAGAATATTCTTCACACTTTTCACTCTTAGTTCTGCACTTTCCTTGTATCTTCAATTATCCATTTTATCTTCTTTTGATGTTTAAATCCCTATGATTCAGTATGATCTCCATCATACTTTGCTAACTCTTAGTCCAAGTGTTGTCCCCACTTCCCCTGAAGCACAACACAATTATGCCCCACAAATATTACTGGAAATAAACTGTAGTGTTGAAGGATATTATGCACATTAATCTTGATATTATCAATTACACTATTACCAAATAACATTTTTGGGAATCCCTTAGAGTCAATGTTGATTCCTGGCCACGGCCCGGATTAGTTCCTGCAGTTTTCTTGGCAAGCTTTTTTAGAATGTTGCTTTTGTCTTCTTCCTAGGATTGAGAGGGATTAGCCCAAAGTCACCCAGCTGATGTTGTGCCTCGAGCAGGACTAGAACTTTCTAGTTTCTATCCCAATGCATTTAACCAATATACCAATATACCAAACTGGCTCTAAATAGCTATAGGATTGTAGTTTAAATTGGCAGGATAGACAAATATCCATTTTGTTCTCCAACAAAAAATGAGAATGCAGCAAATTTGTCACTTAAACAATGTCACAAATAATTGCTTGCTGTGACACTTTTTTCTTAATTTAGTTCAGAGATTATTGCTGCTTTCTCTTACTATTAGACTTGTAGAAAATCCAATAAAATATTTAAAATTTCATGAGATTCTTCAGCCCTATGTTTGCCCAGTGGAGTAAATCAGGGGTGAAATGCTACCGGTTCTGTTTGGGTCGCCCGAACCAGTAATAAAAATGCTACTGGTTTGCTGAACTGGTAGTAAAATTTAAAAAAAAAAAAAGTTCCAAAGTTCAGCTGAGCAACATGTGATCGTCAGAATTTTTTTTTAACTTTTTAAAGCATTTTTAACTACCTGTTCCAGAGAACCGTTAGTAAAAAATGTTTTTAAAAAGTCCCCCCCCCGCTGTTCTACTTACCTTCCCAAGTCTCCTTTTGGCGCATACTGTGCATGTGTGCATGCAGTGCACGCTTGGCGCGCGGCGCGCATGCACGGCCAGCAAACCAGTGGCAAACTGGTTCAGATTTCACCACTGGAGTAAATGTATATATAACATTGGAAAGATCACCTAAAGATAACAAAACCTTTATTCCTTTGGTGCTATATTTCAGTGACAAGGTCCAAAATCTCAGAGTTCACAATTTTCAAGTGATGAATAGTGGCTTTCAATTTGAGGGCAGAAGGTTCTTGTTGCCTAGTAGTTCAGCCATTCAGTGGTCTTTAAATACTATTTGCTTGGTAAAAAGCAACTAAGGCCATCAAACTTAGTGTAAGGAGAAGACTCAGAACAACATATGTATAATAGTCCCAGGAAGCAATGTTAAATAAGAAAGAAAAAAATGGTGTGTTCTATTCCCTTCTTGACTTTCACTTTTCTAACTTAATAGTGTCACTTAGTGGCCTTACTAGCCTTTGCGAGTTTTGCCTAGCTGACTCTTTAACCGCTTCGAGCAGGGGTCCCCAATCCCCAGGCTGCGGCCCACTACGAGGCCTTGGGCTGATCGGAACTGGGCCGTGGAAGTGCCTGCTGCTCATGCAAATGGAGCTGAATGCATGTACATATTCGCCTGCCACTCACGTGGAACCATCCCCCCCCCGCTGGTCCGCAAAACCAGAAACGTCGGGAAACTCTGACTTAGAGACTGCTGTAAAATACTATGAAGTGGTATAGTGTTTCATATTCCAACACATTTTAGATCCTTACATTAATTAATTCTATTTGCCAACTATTATTATAATAGTACTCCCTCACTACCATTGTTCTAATATAATGATCACATCAGCTGGCAAAATAATTTGTTTTGTTCTTCTGAGTATTTCTGTGTTGGCATAATAAATTTTAGGGTTAAGTTGTAGAAGTGCAATTCCCCAATAAAGAGCAGCGGGGCAGTAGTCCCAATATCAGCGTTCTGAGTAATGCACCCATTGAAAGCGTAACTCCGAGGCAGGTAGATTCCTCAGAGGATATGTTTATTGGATACATCATATAGGCACAGCCGGTGAAAACCAACTCTGAATGTTCCCATGGTTTTCACCAGTGGTGGGTTTCTACCGGTTCACCCTGGTTCGGGCAAACCAGTAGCGGCGGCGACAGAAGGCTCCGCCCACCCTCCTGGATGTCATCACAGACGCTCTGTGCAGGTGGAGAAGCGCCATGCGTGAGCGAAATGAGTTCCAAACCAGTAGCGAAGGTAAGTGAAAACCACTACTGGTTTTCACCGAATTAAAGAAGGAAACTTTTCCCCTCCCCGGTGTCACCAGTCACAGTCACATGATCCAAAGAATTCAACTGGCAGGTTCTTCTCCTCCTTCACCAGCCACCTGTTGTGATGACCTTGGTTCCCACAGGAAAACTTTTTATTTTGATTGTAAGTTGGGCTAAGTACTTCCTCCCTCCCCTTCTTTCTCAGGCTTTGTGGCAACTTTGAGGCAGCATAAGATGGCTTCAACCAGGTTCCCTTCAGAGTTGACACCTATGGGCATTGATGGAATTTTGCAAATTTTAATAAAAAGCATATTTCATCCTTTCAATTTTATGCTAAAGATTACATGGTATAATAAAGATACCTATAATAGCAATGCCAAAAGTCAATATGTCAAAGAAAAGACATTGTGAATTTGTTCTTCACAGTTGCTTTCACCTATACATAAAACAACTTGCTGTCATACTGATATAACAGACAATTTCAACATATATTAGAACCCAGTAAGTAAGCATTAGTAGTGATGTTCGTATGAAGGAAGAGAGATACGAAAGAGAGAGAGAAAGAGAGAGGGGGGAGGGGGGAGGGAGGGAGAGCATTCTGTATGCAAATTAGTACTATATTTAATTCAAACCAAACTTTTCCTAAAATAACAGGATGATGATTCTCATGTAATGAATGTCTGTATGAAAGGGTCCAATTTTTCCATCTAACAAATATTATCTTTGATTGTCTGAATCTACTATAAAATATGACTCTTATTTAAATGAATATTTTGAATGATCAAACAGACTGTAAAGGTTGAATTCTGAGACAGTGGCCAAAAGAGGTGACAGGAAGCGATTTTCCATTCTAGCAGCTCAAACTTTACAAACACCAGAAGAATCTTCTAAATGGAATGATCTGTGATGTGGAGCCCAAAATTAAAGAAGGAATGTTAAAAGTTGAGTAGAAGAAACTGATAATTTAGTAAAGACTTCCATACCAAAATGTTGCTCTATAAAGTTCTTGAAAACAATTTCAGTGTACTTAAAAAAAAAGAATTTAAGTTATGCTTGCACAAAAGTGGAGAAAGAGAGACCTCTTTTGGTCAAGTTGAACAATTCACCAAAAGATTCATAGACAGAAGCAGTTGTATGTTTTATTGCCTGCTTCATTGCTTATAAATAAAGTAATGTAAATTGTGCTCTCAGCTTTGTTCTATAGGTGTTGTATACTAAGGTGTTGTATGTGTTGTATACTAAGACAATGCAGTTAGGCAATCATGTAATGAAAGTACTCAATGGATCATAACAAAATTAAATTCATTTACATTTAAATGTTATTCAAATTAAAGGTAATGATGTGATTGCCGTCCATTTATAATATTATTTAATAATGTTTCTCTTATATTAATGAACCATTATAATTTGATGGCATGCTCTGAAGGTCTCTAGAACTCCATGTTATTCTGAAGACACTGCTTTGAATCTCTGGTTTCTGGCTTTTAGCAAAGCAAGAAAAATAGCAAGCACTTTGCCAACATTTGATACATTGGTGTTAACTGTCAGTGATGGATATTATTGATGAAGTAGAACAGCAATAAAGAAAATACTGGTAGCTGCAACTGTAATGTGGCTTTTTATGTGGTAATCCAGGGGTCAGCAACCTGCAGCTCTGGAGCCGCATGTGGCTCTTTCACGCCTCTGCTGTGGCTCCCTGTCACTCAAAATATGCGTCCCAACCGCCAATCTGTGACACCTGCCAGCATGCGATTTATTGAGCTTTTCAACCTCCAGTAGGCTAACCATGGATAAATCCAAGAAAAGAAAAGTTTCAGGAGAAAACAGAACGTTTAATTCAACTACATATGCTAGTTTTGTGGCTGCTCAAGAAATAGTCAGGCACGAGAAGGGTTTTGTGGCTTCCGGTGTTTTCTGTGGGAAACGGGTCCAAATGGCTCTTTGAGTGTTTAAGGTTGCAGACCCGTGTGCTAATCCTTCACCATGATCATCATTAATGCCACACATGGAGAATCTGGAATGACCAATTAATAGGCAAAAGGAGGCAAGACTATTATTTGGC